TAAGAATGTAGTTTATTTCCAGATTTGTAGCCTTCTTGGATAGGTCCTCTGGTTCAAGTGTGAGTTTGGGAGTTTCTATGAGTTCCTATCAGGAAGTTGTTGAAAGCATCCATATGGTTGAAAATAAGTGTCAAGCAAGGACAGGTAAGTATGTGCTGAGTTTTACCTTCCAGGAGCCAGGATACCACACTTCACCACCAGTGTGGACTTTTAAGTGCCTCTAAGTCCAAGACTTTATCTCATCTCCCCCTGTTCATGAATCAGAGCATAGACACTTGAGTTCACCAGTGTCATCTTTGACATTTAACATGCCATATTCATTCTAACCTCAAATCTTTGGCTCATCCCAGATTTTCCTCTTGAGATACTTCCCTCTATTCTCCAAATGCCCTTCATCCCTCAAACCCATCTCTGGCCTTACATGCTCTGCAAAGCATCCCTGTCAACAATTTCAACCCACATTGATTTCTTGCTTCTCTTTTTCCTCTGTCTCTACTATCATACAAAGACTTTGTGTCTTACAGTTTTCCGGAAACATCTTGAAGTCAGGGCATGTATTTCAGGCTTCCTTTTATTTTGTATCTCTTGCAGTTTGAAAAATAGGTACTTGATATTTGCTCAAAGTACTTGGTATTTGCTCAAATCCAACAACATTCATAATCTGATTTTAAAAATGTGAAAAATCTGAACACTAAAAATTAGAGGTTGTAACTGAGATTAAACTGAAGGAGATCTAAATGGATCCTGAATGTTCTTATCACCCACAAAAAGTAACTGTGTGAGGTGATGGCTATATTAATTAGCTTGATTAATTAGCTGATGGTGATGATATCCTCTTTTGTTGACAAAATTTATATGTACATTAAAACATCACATCGTATACCTTGGACATGTACAGTTTTACCTCAATAAAGCTGATGAAAAAGAAGCCCTAAATAGATGAAAGTATAGCTTCTGCTCATAGATTGGACCACTCAACATTATGCTGCAAAAATTATCTTCCTAACAGTGAAAAAGGCAAAAATTTTCAGAAATAGCACATAAAGTATATTAAACATAAAATTGAAAAATTAGACTACCTTAAAAATAAGAATTTGTTTTTTATCAAAAGACACCATTAAGATGAGAAAACATTATGTCACATATCTGAAAAGGACTTATAATCAACTATAGAAAGATCTCCTATAAATTATTAAGAAAATATGGAAACCTCAGTAGAAAAATATGCAAAAGACTTGTGGAGACAGTTTATAAAAGAAGAAATCTGAATGGCCAATAAACACATGGAAAGATGCTTCTGTGAACACTTTATGAACATCAAGAAGGCAGCACAGCGTAATGATTGAGAGCATGAACGCGATTCTAACTGACTCAAGTTCAAATGCTACCTGTGTCATGTGTTAAGTTTGATACTCATGCAAGTTATGAACCCTCTTGAAGCATCAGTCTTTTCGTTTACAAAATGAGTGTAACAATAGAATTTGCCTCTTGGGTTATTATGAGGATTAAATGAAACAATATACAAGAAAATTAAAATTAAAATCCTGATCTCTTAAAACACAGCCACTGGAATGGTTAAAATAAAAATATTCAAAACTAAGCAATGATGATAATTTGGAACGTCTGGGCCTCTGCACATGCTTAGTATATGATGCAAGTATGCAGTCGGTACAATCACCTTTCAAATCTATCTCATTGAACCCACTAAAGCAGAACATATGTATATCATATGAAATAGCACTTCCACTCCTAGGTAAATATGAGCACATATGCTTATCAGAAGACATGTGAGCAGAATATTTATAGCAACACTATGCACAATAACCAAAAGGCAGAAACAGCCCAAATATTTGACAACCAAATGGGGAAAGCAAGATGGTATAGCCATACAATGAAATTTGTACAACAATGATAATGAGCAAAGTATTGAAACATGAGAAAAACTTGGATGCATCTCACAAACACATCATATATTTAGCAAAGGGAGTCAAACACAAAGAGTATCTACTATATCATTCCATTTTTTTTTTTAAGTTCAAAATGAAGCAAAACTAGAGGGGCCACAGGAGGACTGTGGAGATGCAGAACTGTTCTTCATCTGGGTGGTGGTTACAAGGGTTTGTTCTTTTTGTAAAAATTCATTGAATTTTACATGTATGGTTAATGAGCTTTTTATGTCTATCTGAAGTATTTATACTCAAAAGCAAAATGCTATGACCTAGAATGAACTGCCACTCAGCGGGGATTTTTCCCAGTGCGTCACTTCTGCTCGTAAGCTCTGGAGTAGAAAATGAGGAAAGTTTGATTTAACAAACATACTCATAAATCAAATTTCAAACCTCATCTTGACCTTGCAAAGAATAAAGCATGGCTCTGAGCTACTCAACTCCTCCTGCTTCAACAAATTGACCCATAAAACCATTTTATAGATGTCACTTTGCTTTGCTTTCAACAAGGAAAGCATTTTTACTAATAACATTCTCATCCTCATTATCTCCCCATTGTAACTCATCTCCTGGCTTAGAATTTCGTATGTCTCATGACGATGATGAACTTGTTGAAACGTGAATTATAATTATATATATTATTTTATTATTCCACTATCCCACCTTTGCAGGGCAAAGTAGCCCTGTGCTGTTCATTTGAGTACACAAGAAAGGCTCAAAGCTAGATTTTTTTTAAAAAAATAATTTAATTAGATTAACTTCAAAATTTGGAGTGAGAAGCTAAGTGGGTAGCTCTAGCTGCATCTGAGTAAGCCTTAGATTCTCCCTTTTGCAAGTGGAGTAGAAGGTCATCATTCCCACTAAAAGTCCATTATAGTGTTGTAGAGCTACATTCTTCAACATAGTAGCCATTGACCACATACAGGTATTTAATTTAAATTAACTAAAACTACGATTTAAAGTTCAGCTGCTCAGATGCACTATCCATGTTAAGAATGTGATCCCAAATTTGATTCGTGAAGCTTGTTCTTAGATATTCCAATTGACTTAGGATAGTCCAGCCAGAACATTCTTTGTTGAAGGCAAATTGCAAAATATAGTCTCCTGTTTTTGTGTAAATTCTATCAAGTCTACCAAAATAAAGTGAGCAAGTATTAGATATGAAGCCTAATGTCTTGAATTTAAAATGTTTATACTTAAGCACTAATTAACTGGAACTTTGATGGTGTAATTAGTCATTTAATACCTGTTTCCTTATCTTTCCCCATGGACAGTAATACCACCCCTCAGAATTATTGGGAGAATTCATTGATGCCTGCTTTCATTCAACTTTCTTTTTTTTTTTTTTAATTTTTTAGTTGTAGATGAACATAATGCCTTTATTTTATTTATTTATTTTTATGTGGTGCTGAGGATTGAACCTAGTGCCTCACACATGCTAGGCACACGCTTTACCACTAAGCTACAACCCCACCTTCATTCAACTTTCAACATTTAACATTTATTCAAAACTACTCTGTGTGTCAGAACCTCCATTGGTGGGGATTTTCACAAAGAACTCACAGTCCAGCTGGTGATTTGCTGCATATTTCTCAGCCTTTTAAAAATTATTTGCCTCTGATATTTTTAAAAACAATCTCCCTCATCCACCCATGAAATTTTAATACCACAGACACTATGTTAGTCAGTTTTTCATCACTATGACCAAAATACCTGACAAGAACAACTTAGAAGAGGAAACATTTATTCCAGAGGTTTAGTCCATTGTTGGCCAACTCCATTGCTCTGGGCCCAATAAGAGGCAAAACATCATGATGGAAGGGCATGGTGGAGGAGTGTTGTTCTACTCATGGTGGCCAGGATGCAGAGAGGGCAAGTGGATGGGGATACAGGGAAGATGAACCCTTCCAGGACATGTCCCCAGTTACCTGCCATCTCCAGTCATGCCCCATCTACCTACAGTTACCACCCGGTCAGTCTATCCAAACTAGGATAAACAAACTACCTTATAACTCTCACAATGCATCATTTCATTTCTGAATATTCCTGCATTAACACAGGGGATTTTGGGGAACACTGCATATCCAAACCACAACACACTATTTGTTTATGTATCTTGTGCATATCTGTGCTTTATAATAAAAAGCAAAAATTTCCAGTCTCTCCCCTGCCAAGAACCACTTCTGGCTCCCTTAGGGAGACACCTCCCCATTGAGAATGAGGAATGTAAATGATGACAGGAGTGTAGCAGATGCACCAAGATAAAGAGGCACAAACTGCTCAGTTTGTCTCACTGGGGGTGCAGCTGTTATGGGTGAAGCCAGGAAAAACTTGAGGGAGAAAAGCAGGGTGCTGGTGGCCTTCTGATTCCTTCTACAAAGAAGGAATCAGAACTACAGGGCAGCCCCAGGGAGGGTGCAAGGTGAAGCAGTGTGCCTTCTCCTGATTGGGTGTATGAGGGGTGCTGATGTGGAGGGGGGTCAGCCTCACAGGGCCTTGAATGCTGAGAGTAACCCTTGTCACAGAGACATTAGGAACATATAAAAGTTTTAAGAAGGGGAATGACTTGCTCACTGATACATTTGCAAGTTCATTTGGGTTTTGTGTGGATGAACAGGAAAATCTGCTCAGAGATAGAGGCAGAAATCTTGACTTGCATGAGCAGTTACCTCTGACATTAAGAGAGGCAGATGGAGAGAGTTTGGAATACAATTAAGTGACACAGTTTATGTGCAAGCAGCTGGAATGCTGCAGGTAATTTTTTTAATAGTGTTTCTTATTAGGATTTGGGCTTTGGAAAACATTTGGTGGCTTAGCATTAAAGATGCATCCCAGAGGTCAAAAACCAGATTTCTGAAAAGTTTGATATTTGTGTTTTTTAAAAAATATTTTTAGTTGTAGATGGACACAATACCTTTATTTTATTTATTTTCATGTGATGCTGATAATTGAACCCAGTGTCTCACACATACTAAGCAAGTGCTCTACCACTGAGCCACAACCCCAGTCCAAGGTTTGATATCTGTTAAATCCATGTTTTGTTTTGTTTTTGAGGTGAAACTGCAGAGTAAATCTGGACAGTGAGTTCCAGGGGACTGCACAGGCTGTTCTTCATTGGTACCTGGATCACTGAGCTGGCAGATACCACAAACACTGCAGAAATATGACAGGTCAGTACAGGCTTGGGCATTCTCAGACCTGTGCAGGGTTTTATTCATTAACTTCAAGTGCTCCCTTGTCTCATCTTTAGCCACATGTGAATCCACTGGCTATATCAGTTGTGGTACTTGCCATCTCCTCTACCCAGGTCTGTTCTCTTCTTTTGTTATTTTATTTTATTTTTTGGCAGTACTAGGGATGGAGCCCAGGGCCTCACACTTGCTAGGCAAGCATCCTACCACTGAGCTACATACCCAGCTCCCTGCCTGTCTTCTAGTGATTGCCCAATCTGTCACCAACAACCCTGAGAAGTGACCATACTCTCGTGTTTGCAATTGTAAATTAGGCCACTTTTGGTTGATCCAACACCAAGTTACTTGTTTCTTGTCTGTCAGTAGCTTTTAGGATTATGAAAGATTCAAGAAAGCAGCAGCGATGTAACAGGCAGGAAAAGTGAGGAAAGTTCTCCTGTGAATGGCCCTTCCATGAAGTGGAGGGGCAGGGTCAGTGGCTTTTTTGGCAATAGGAGGACTGTTTGCCATTCCTGGAGTGGGCAAGGCTTCAGAAGGTGGAGCCCAGGGGTGGGGCTGCTGATGCTGTTACTTCTTTCCATGATGGGAAGCAGGCAGCAGCTGTCCGTAGAAGCTTGTCTGACATGGGCCTGAGGAGGACAGGAAGGCATCTGTCCACTGTCTTGGACCCTGGGATATATACTAAAGCCTTTGTCCTTTAGCTTTATGAGAGCATGCTCCTCTTGTTTGACTTGGAATTAAAGACTAGTGCTTCTTTTGCCTCTTCTGAATCAAATCCATGCCCAGGTGGCCTCTTCCTCCCTCTCATCTTTATCATAATTTTTTTCTTTCCAGCTTCCAGAACCCACCACAATGAGCAGATAGTAAGAACTGATAGACTTTTCCCCACCATCCCTTTGAACATCCTGCTCATTAGCTTCCCCAGCTCCATTTGGGTTCCCACAATGACTGTCAGACTTACCTGACCTTAATTGAACTGCCAACTGGGTTTTACAATGTTGGTCTTTGCTCTCACATGGAGACAGTTTAGAACCCTGCTTGTTGATTTGCAATGAAACTTAGGCACAGGACCCTGGTGTTATGCTGGCCCAGGGTGTAGGAGATGGATTCATCCAGGCCCACAGTTTCCACTTAGCTTTCCTTATCTAAGAAGAGGCTGGAGCCAAAGATAGTTAAGGAACTTTGCAAGAGATCCCCTGAATGTTCCAGTAAGCCCAGAGCTTCTGACGGGCTGGAGTTCCATCCTGGGTGAGGGCTACTTAGCTATTAAAAGAACATAGCCAAAGAGTGCTGACTTGCTTCTGGAGAGAGATCTTTAGTGCTGGGTCATGGTTCCTGACATAGCCAATGTTTAAAAATTAACTGGAGGAAGAGCTTTGGGAATATGTAAAATAAACACCAAAAGAATGCAAAGCAGGAACTGGAGACCAATACACTGTTACAGACTCAGGATTTTCAGCAACTTCAAGAGGATGAACAGTGATGTCAGATTCAGGGAAGAGTGAAAACTGCTAATGAGAAATGTGAATGATTTTACTACTAACTTCATAGGACAAGAGAGATGTAGTGGGCCATCATGAATCAGAAGAGCCTTCAGGTCTGCGGTGGATGATAAGGTCAGAGCACAAGATCCAACACCACAAATTTCACATGGCCCAAATTGAGCAGGTCTGTCTGGCCTAATTTCTATTGACTGGAGCTAGTTATCTATTGTATGATTACAGAATTATCTATTATATGGTTACAAGCCTTGGCTATAATTGAATGAAGATATATTTGGTGCATAATCCAATGAAATATTTTAACAATTTATTTGATCATTCACTCTTTTAGTAAATATTAACTGAGCACAAAGTACATACCATACACTGAGCTAGGTGCTAAAAACACAATAGTAACCGAGATTGACGTGGCCAGAGCCCAGTCTATCAGGGGAGATTGACTAGTAAAATCACAAAATTATTAAACCAGTAAAAACACAAAATTATTCCAAATGATAATCCTCATTAGCAAATGAAAGTACAAGGTTCTGGACAGCACAGAGCAGGAAGATCAGGCCTGATTTGGGGAGAGGGATTCAGGGAATGTTCCTTGAGAAAGTGAGTTCTGAATTCATGGACGGTTGTAGAGCTATGTTCTTCAACACAGTAGCCATTGACCACATATAGATATTTAATTTAAGTTAACTAAAACTACAATGAAAAGTTCAGCTGCTTAGGTGCACTATCCATGTTCAAGTGATCAATAGTCATCCGCAGCAAGTAACTGCCATATTTTTATTATACAGTTATAGACATTTCCATTATTGCAGGATGTTATGCATACTGAATGGTGATTCTATATAGGATTTAACTAGCTGGAAAGGAGCACATGGTGGGGGGGGGATATAAACACCTTGAGCAAAATCAAACAAACAAAAAGATGCTATTTATTTTGGAGAAGCTTGATTGTAAGGGAAGAAGGAAAGAAGTACATAGAATGTACTTCTTTGATATTTGTGTTTTTTAAAAAATATTTTTATTTTTTAAATAAAAACATTGGGCCATAGGTTTCGGTGAGGGATCAGAGGACACAGGAAATTTTCCCTCCTCCTATTTTCTAACACAGACACTGAACAATTAATCCCTAGGCATTTATTCAGTTCTAATTCCCAGATGGGCCCCCGTTCTGAGTCCTTGCTCCGGTTCCCACGTATACAAAATAAAGACCAAAAAAGCAGAACAGAGAAATAATATTGTGCTTGAATTGTTCAGTAAAATATAAAATGAGTGACAGAGAATTGACAATAAGTTTCCAATTGTGTGGTAAAAATCACACATAACTAAATACAGTTGGGCCTCTGTATCCATGGAATCCAACCAACCACGGATGGAAAATATTCAGGAAAAAAAATTGTGTCTGTACTGAACATATGTAGACATTTTTTCTCTTGTCATTATTTCTCAAACAATATAGTATAACAACTATTTACATAGCATTTATATTAGGTATTATAAGTAACTTAGAGATGATTTAAAGTATATGGGCAGATGTACATAAGTTATATGCAAATACTATACCTTTTTATATAAGGAACTTGAGCATCCGTAGACTTGGGGGTCCTGGAACCAATCCCTCATGGATACAAAGGATGACTGTATCAGCTATTGCCCTGTTTTCTGCCTTTTGCCACAGTGCCCTGCCCTCTGCCCTTCACATAAATGCAATTGTTCCCAAGCATTCTTTCCTGGGCCCTGATCTGTTTTCACTCGATTCTCTTTTCATTCTGCCCTTCTAAGTGTGGTTGTCTACTACGTGACTTAGCATATGATCCATGTACTGACCATTTCCAAGCCTCTGATTCCAGCCCTGGCCCTCCCTTCTGAGCCTCAGACTTGAATTCAAGTGTCCACTAAGAGCCTCCAACTGTCTGTCCTCAGGATAGTGCAAACTCATTCCTGTGGTGCCCACCCAAGCTGCGCCTTGGTTCCCAACTCAGCAGTGGCAATGCTATGCCACCAGAAACCAGGAGACTGGGCCTCATTCTGACTTCCCACTGACAGCCCATCAGTCACCAGCCCTGTGGATTCTGTCCTCAATAATCTCTTAAATTTATTGACCCTCTCCCCTTCCCTTCCACATTATCCTAATTTAAAATGCACAGCCTGGATGATATAACTGGGTCCTATCCAGTTTCCTTAGTTCCAGTCTCAGCCCTCCCCAATCCATTCCCTGCACTCCAACTATGCAATCCTCTCAAATCTGATAATGCCTTTCCATTTTGTAATACCTTTTAGTGCCCGCATTACAGTGGTCCAAGTGATTGATTATCTGTGGTTACGCTCCTCTTGATTTCGCCCTGATTACTTCTCTAGATGCTTTTCTTATCCTTTGTACTTTGTATGTTATTCTCCAGACACACTTAGCTTCATTTAGTTCCAGGAATCCGGCATGCTTAACTTTGTATTGGGATCTTTACACATGTTGTTTCCAGAAACATTTTCACGTCCCCACCCTCTTTGCCTGATTTGCACAGTTTAGATGTTGTTTTATCCAAAAAGACTTCCTCAAATTCCCTTGTGCAAAGTTAGCTGTCCCTCCCACAAAGGAGTAGGTAAGTGGGTCAAATAGTGGGCCCCCAAAGAGATGTCCCTATCCTAATTCCTGGGACATGCAAATGTTACCTTAGTTGGAAAAGGCATCTTCATAGATATAAACAAGTTAAAAAATCTTGTTGCATCATCTGAAATATCCAAGTAGACCTTAAACACAATGACAAGAGTCTTTATAAGAGACATACAGAAGAGAAACAGAGAGAAGTGGAAAAAGACGTATGAAGGAGATAAAGATTGGAGTAATCTCTCACAAGTCAAGAAACCAGGAGTCACCAGAAGTTTCAAGAGTCAAGGAAGGATTCATCCCTGGTGCCAGAGGGCATGTGGTCCTGTTGACACCTTGAATTTGGACTAGAATTCTCCAGAACTGTAAGAAAATATATTTCTGTTATTATAAGCCACCAAGCTTGTGGTAATTTGCTACAGAAACCCTCAGAATCAAAAACATTCTCTCTTTACTTCTGATCACACTGCACTAAAGTGGCCTTGTATGTGTGCCTAACTTCAGTGAGCTTTTCATGAGGGCAGGAGAATGCATATGTTGCTTCCAATTGTATCCTCCACCGTGGCCCAGTACCTGCTACTGACAAAGCAATCCATTGTCCTTTGATACAAGAATGAAATGCTATTGGCTGATACACACAGGATGAGCTTTGGGAGGAGTTGGACTTGAGCTGCTGTGACAAAATGGGCAGGATTTGGGTAACATCAAGAAGGGAGTGATCATTCCCAGCAACTGGAGCCACATTAGTGAGGGCCTGAAAATGAGAATGGACATAACATGAGATTAGCCTGACTATAGGAGAAAGTTCTGAAATAAAGCTGGACGAGCACTAAGGTGAACTCTTGGGACTTTCTCCTGCAAGACAGAACTTCCTCACAGGTGTACTCAGCAGCTCCTATGATGCTCAACAGTCATAGTATGCCATGGCATCTTTCTCTAGCATGGCTGGCCTTAGGGCTTCAGGTCAATCTACAGTCATAGTTTGCCATGGCGTCTGTTTTCTCCAGTATAGGGATTCAGGGCAATCTACTATAGCATAGAAATATTGTTTCTTTGTGTGTCATGGTTTAACATAGACTGGGAAAAACTGATAAGGTTAGGAGTCATTAAAACTTCTTGAATTAAAAGATGAGTAAGATCAGCTATGTACTTGCTAGCCTGAGTACAAAATAAAAACGTGGGCCCTTGGTACAGAAATCATTAGGAATTTCAAGATGCAATAGCGGAGCATTCAACCAAGTGAGGTGACTTCTAAGCAGGGATTTTATGTAATTGCACAGGTCTCGCACTCAAGAAACTGCCCCTGACTATGAAGGAAGATTTGCTAAAGATGGATAGGAGATTGTTGTGAGATATGTTGAATGGATCGGGAGTTGGGGTGAGAGGGTTACATCAGGGGGACAAGGTGGGAGGTAATTCAGGAAGACAGAATGAGGAGACCTTGGTCTAAGACAGTTTCCTGGGAATGCAAAAAGGAGGATAAAGGTAAACCCAACTGATGGTATGCTCCCAGAGTCAGGGGTATTTCTGGATCTTTCCAGACTTTTCAGTGCAGGGGGGAGCATCAGGGGAGCCCTCTCAGAATGCAGTTGCATGGTGTGTGTCATTGACGTTGCACTGGAAACTGCATCAAACAGGAATAACTAGAATTCAACAGAGATGGGAGTGAACATGGGCATTTTTACTCCACAAAGGAACCCCGTGGGTATTGGATTGTTTGCTCAACAACTCTACGACTTTGGTGAGGGAGGTGGATGGAAAGGCAATGGAAGACAGGCCACCCTCAGGTGCCTCTGGAGGCCCAGTGAAGACGTGAACGTGTGAGGTTGAGGAGTGACCAGGACCTTCATGAACACCTAATTGCCCAAAGGCGATGGTCACTGTACAACTTTAGCCCATCATGGCCCTGTAAGGACACAAACAAGGACTGGAGACCATAGCTGCAGACTCTTAGAAGGAGAGGATCCAAAATTGTGAGATCTTCCCCAATTTTTAAGTTTTGAAAATTAAGTTAAAATTATGCATATACATGTATATGTATATAGTTTCCCTCCAGAATGGGAAACAAGGGCATGAGGCAGAGCAGACTCCATATATACTAAAGAAAACACAGCCCCCCTAAGCCTCACTTTTACCACCATGGGGATAATTTTATTACCTACATTTTGGATTAAATAATGTCATTTAGGTAAAGTACAGAAGCCAGCCTTTGCCATATAAAAGCTAAATAGATGCTGGCCTTTATAGTTCTTAAGCCTCTACTACATATCAGGTTCTTTGCTGTGCACTTTATATATTCTCGTTTATTTTATGCTCACATCTATTCTGTCAAGTAGGCTTTATTACAGTTTCTAACCCATTCCCTAAAGGTGGGTTAGAAATGAGCGTTCAAAGATATAAAGTCACTTGCTTCAAATCACAGTCTGTAAGAGTGAGCAAGAATTCAAATTTCATTATTTCTGCCTCCCAAGTTATTGCTTTTTCAATGATGTCGCTTACCTGGTACTGACTTTAGTATTTTCTTCTGGCAGTTTCTTGGAAGAATGTTCTAGCAAATGGTATTTTTTTTTAAAGTTAAAACAAATTTCAAAAAGAGAAAATATAGTCTCTTTCCTCTTACATACTCAAATACATACACCTATGTACACACCTGCTCAAAACGAATGTCATAAAAGTGCCAGTACATTTTCCCCCATCCAATGGACTGTTAAATAACATTGTTTACACGAATTAGCTTCTGTGTTTTTTCAATTCTATGGGACAATTATCGCATTCCTATTCTGCCTCAAAGGTGAAGAAATTGACAGTATAATGAATATGAGACTTGGTACAGGCCCTAAGGCAAGAGATTAACAGGGAGGACCCTAATGCCTTTATTGAGGAGACTTACTCCCTTGGGTCCACTCAGGAATGGTGACAGGTGTCAGAGCCAAGTCTGGGGCCCCAGGGCCTCTGTGCCCTGAGAGGCAATTAGCTATCTGCTCAGTGGCCTACAATTCATGTATATATCCTCCAGTCCTGCAAATTGATCAGCCCATTTCCCTCTTTTCCTGGGGGCTTTCAACTCTGGACTTGTCTACCTAAAATCTTCCAGCAACCAGAATTTCTTTTCTGAAAAAATTGAAAAGAGGAGGAAAAAAGAAAGAAAGAAAGAAAGAAAGAAAGAAAGGACTTGCAGTGCTGATGTCTGAAATTAGCAAGAATTTTAACTTGTTCCTGGAACAAATTCTAGGGCATTGGAATTGCGAATGTCATTGGGTAGGGTGGGGGGAGGACCCAGCTGGGCAATCCAGAATGATGAGATTCATGGCAAACAGCTTTGTTTGATTCTTTTGACTGTGGCCAAGCCAGTAGGGCTGACAGCATGATGTTCTCAGTAACAGCCTCGACAACAACATGATTTGTTTTTCTTCCAAAGCTGAAAACGGCATCTCAGCCTGCTTTCTTCTGAACCTGTGGGATGCGAGGGCTGATTTCAACCTCCAGAATGGGAAACCAGGGCATGAGGAAGAGCAGACTCCAGTGCCAATGTCATCTGGCAATCCCTTTTACTTAAACAACATACATTTTTAATTTGGAAGAACTTGTTTCATCTTTTAATAAGTAAGATTTCAGATTAAGATGTTCCTCTTTCTAACCACCAGATTGAAACTCAAGATTGTCTTCGGCCAAGGGCCACGATATCTGTGCTATTTCTATAATTTACAGCAGAAACTGAGTCTTGAAGCTTGGCCTTGGGTTCATGTCTGCTTAAATGGGTTATCTTCTGGATTCTTTCAGGGAATTGGGAAGATGTAAAGTAAGCCTCAGTTTCCCCCAAAAGGAAAGCTGAAAGCTGATAAGGTATGTAGACCACTAATAAAAATGATGGTAGCGGTTAGCTAGTGGTTAATAATGATTGCAAGTGATTTCAAATCTCATGCACTACAAGAAATGCCAGAGAAGTAAGTGAGAGTTCTCTTGCTTTCTTTGCCACTAAAAGAAAGCCTCTAGCCAGATCTGTGCTCTAATACTGCAGGGAAATCGTGAGTCACCAAAAGAAATGATCCCTGCCCCTACTGTCCTTGCCATCTAGTGCAAGAGCAAGGTGCGCATGGTTGCACTCATGGGTTCACGGTGAAAGAGAGGCACAGGCTCCAATGTGTGCTTTGTGCAAGTTCATTTCCAAGTCAGTGATTTGAACTCAAATTGCATCTGCCAATATAAATTATATTACAGAGGCTGAGAGAATTCTTGGGCTGGCAAACCACAACACATTTTTGCTTTTTCTGACAGTGTAGGATTTGTCCACCTTTTATACTTTTGTCTCTACCCATAGATGTCATCCCTAGCAAATTCCAGAGGCTCCACGGCACCATCCTGCTGGAGAGAATGATTTCCTCTCTCTTTCCATATGGACTCTGCTTTCTTAAGAGTTCCAGTGGGAGTGAGAATATGGTACATGACCGTTGGCAGGAGGAACAAGTGGCAGGTGAGGCTTCCAAGACATTCAAGGCATGGTTTGTCTTCAGAAAGGGACTTAAACTTAGCCAGTATAAGCCAAGGGGTTTTAGGGAACACCTTCTTGGTGAGTCCCTTAGCCTTTAGGGACTCTTGGAAACTCAGTTTCCTCATCAGGAAGATAGGAACAACAACAATAATAAATGACGCTTCCCATAGGGACTTGTTGTAAAGAAAGGAGAGAGGGCACGAGATAATGCAAAGTGATTCTGTCACATAGTTGGCATGTAGGAAATATGGACTACGGGTCTAGTCGTGAAAGAGACAAGATGTACAAATGTTTTGATAAGTTCAAGTACACAGAATGCAGACTGTGTATATACAGGCTGAGAGACAGGACTGAAATTGTCTGGGTTTCAGGTGATTTGGGAGCAGCAGATAAAGCTATCTAGGTCAGCACCAGGAAACTTTCATGTGGGTGACCCTTCATAGGGCATTGAAATGTAACTGTCCTGTATTATGTTTGACTACCCTCTTCCTGCCATCCTAGCATCTAAGGGACAAAGAATAGTACCCAGCAACATGCTCCACACTGGCATCTTGAAAAAGAGGAACTAATTGTGACTAGATTGACTCATGCAAATTGATGAGGAGAGCTCCTCTGGGGAATCAGGAACCCTCCCAGCACAAACACCAAGACTGATGTCCTGGACTGTAGTAGCTTTGGGACTTTGGCCAGAGAGAGACAGATGTTGCCTACCTGGCTAAGGATTCAAATTAGATTACATGTGACCCTAGGTGAGGTGTTTTTCTTTGTTCCAGTGGTTCTTCATGTCCTAGAAATCCAACAACATTGAATCCGTTCCCCGCATTTCCCTGATGGACACTCTTGGTCTACACACAGGAACCGTTCATTCATCCTGCTCTCTGGAGATGGTGCTTCTTAGATTCTTAACAACAACAGGCTTAAAGATAAAGAAAATAGAACTTTGAAAATATAAAATAATGGTAACATTGACAGACATCTGGAGGAGGAGGATGTAAGATAAGTGTTAAAACACTGTTCCTTGGGGCTGGGGTTGTAGCTCAGCAGTAGAGCATTTGCCTAGTACGTGTGAGGCCCTGGGTTCAGTCCTCAGCACCATATAAAAATAAATAAATAAAATAAAGATATTGTGTCCAACCACAACTAAAAAGTAAATAAATATTTTTTTAAAAAATACTGTTCCTTGAAGTTATTGACTGGAGAGTAAATCAGTGCTATCTAAAGATGTTGAAAGAGTCTCCAAATGCATAATTGAGCATTCTACATATAGCTGATAGAAAAACCTTAAAATAAAACTAACCAAACTCAAGACAAGGCCAGTAGTACAAGAAAGCCAGAGAATATAAAGGGGATTTTTCATCTTTTGGAGAAGTGAGTCAAAAACAATAAAAAGCCTGCTAAAAAGTTTATTAAAAAAACATATAGGTATATCAGTTAGCTTATGTTAGACTATAATGAGGCAATAAACAATGTCCAAACAATAGCTTTAATATTTAATTTTCTTGTTCAGTTCCCATTTCTGTGGCTTTGGTAGCTAGCCCTGCAAAAGACCCCAGTGATCCTTGCCTCTGGAAATGCAAGGGTACCTTGCATTGTACCTTCCCAAGTGATGCCACAGTTGGTCCACGTGACTCTATAATACAGCAGAAATGTGATGAACTATCACTTCTGAGATGAGATACTCTCCATTATGGGTATGTACTATCTCTCTCTTGGGTGGATCCACCTGCCATGTTGAGCAGCCTGGTCCACAGAGCTATACCACAGGAGAATATCTTCAGGATCCAGAGCGAAGAGTTATTAGACTTGACCAAAAGTCACAATCCATAGAAGGCAAAATTGATAAATTACAAATGTAAAAATCTTTACTCTCTGAAAGATCCTCTTAAGAGAAGCAGAAGTCAAACCACATAATGAGAACATACTTTTAAATAGCCAGGCATGGTGGAGCACACTGTAATCTCAGCAGCTTGGGAGATGAGGCAGGAGGGTCACAAGTCTTAAAATAAAAAAATAAAAAGGACTGAGTGCTGAGAGCCACAGCCGAGTCTGTATGGCCCCTGGCATTTTGCCAACAGTATTGATTGACAGGCGAGGCATTACTATCCGCCTCTGCCGCAACTTTTGAGTTCTCGCACTATTTTGGAGTTCTCGTGGGGATACTGAGGATGTAGCTCAGTAGTAAACTAGTAAGGGTTCAATCACTGCCATAAACTAAATAAATAAATAAGAAAAGAAAAAAGAAAGAAAGAAAATATTTGTAAATTGCACATCTGACAAAGGGTTATTATCTGAACAAAGAATTCTCAAAACTGAACAGTACAAAAAACGAACAATTCAATGAGAAAATGGGCAAAACATATAAGGGGACATTTCATCAAGAATATACAAATGACAATGGGTATATTAAAAGATGTCCAACATCAAAACCCATTAGGGAAGTGAAAATTAAAACTGCAACAAAATATCCCCACACACCTATCTGAGTGACTAAAAAGAAGTGACAACACCAAGGGTGAATGGTTCAGCAACTAGGATACATCCAAAGCAGCCATAAAGAGGAACAAACTCTTGGCACAAGCAACACTCTGATGGAGTCTTCAGAGCATCATGCTGAGTCAAAACAAAATGAAACATAAAACCACATAGAAGGAAACCAGAAGACTACACACCATATGATTCCATTCATGTAGCATTCTTGAAATGACAAAGTTGTAGAAATGGGGAACAGATAATGTTGCTGAGGTCACAGGCTGGGGGAAAGGTGAGAAGAAGAGAGGCGAGTGTTGCTTCAAAAGGGCAAGAAGAATCTCATGAAAATCCAAGACCATTTAGTAAAATAGAGGAAAGGGCGGGGGGGGGATGGGTAGGAAGAGGAGAGGGAGGGGGGAAGTGCTGAGGACTGATATTGGCCAAATTACAGTTGCTACATTGAGTACATGTACAAATATGTAACAACAAATCCCACCATTGTGTACAACTGTAAGGCACCAATAAAATAATGTAGGGGGAAAAGACAGGGAGCAACGGGAGGAAGTAGGCCCAGGGCCTGGCTGTGGTGTACTATTGTGGTGTACCATTGGAGGAAACTAGGTAGAGTATAAAGTGAATCTGCCTACATTATTTTCTGTAATTGCATGTGAATCTACAGTTGTATCAAAGAAGCTTAAGACATCTGAAACAAACTTTAAAAAATCTTATTTTATTACTTTTAAAATTAAAATAACCTATATATAAAACCTTTACATTTATGATAGGTAGAGAGACGTATATTTAACACACATTACAAAGAGTTAATATTATTGTAACATAATCTTTTGTACTATTAAGAAAAGAACAAACAACCCACTAGGAAAAAGTAAGTAAAAGCTACAAACAAGTAATGCCCAAACTAATAAATGCAAATGGCCAGGAAGTAGCACAACCATGAGCCTGTTGACTTATCCGCCATTTAATGTCCCCTTTCATTCTTGAAATACCCTAGATTGGACAATGAATTAAATATAATCATCTTACTAATAAACTGATACAAAGATGTTCCTCTTCAGAAGTGGTAAAAAAACCAAGTTATTCGGGCTGGGGCTCAGTGGTAGCATCCTTGTCTGGCATGTATGAGGTACTGGGTTGGATTTTCAGCACCACATAGAAATAAATTAAAAAGGTCTATCAACAATTAAAAAAATTAAAATAAAACAAGTTATTCTTCTATTATCTGGTTAAAGAATAAAGGTTTGTTAATTCTCAGTGTTGGCAAAGATATGGGGATGTTCTTGTTTTCTGCTTGTGAGAGTATAAGTTGACTCACGTTTTTTACAGGCTAATTTATCAATGCACATACAAAAAACCATTAAAAAAGTGTATCTCTGTGAGCAGCAATTCCACTTCTAGAAAGTTAGGCAAATATACAAAGATGAACCATCAATGATTTTCACTGAACTGTTTTATAAATGTCGAAGATATACCAAACAGCAAATGTCTATCAATCAGAATTAATTAGGATAGGAATGCAGACATAAATAATGGTACATGTATACATGTACATTTGATAAAATATTATGAAACCATTATATATGTATACATAGGTCCTAGGAAGTACATACTATGAGATACTAATATTATCAGAACTTAGTAAATAGGATACTTAATAATATTTATTTTCTTCTTTATATCATCCCGTGTTCTCTAGACTATTTTCAAAATGCATATGTAATTGGTATAATCATAATAGAGCAACTACATTTTAAAAGAACATGGAGAAAATTATACCTAGAAGATCAAGGTGATGAGGTAAAGCAAGGGAATGCAGAGTGTCACTTAGGAAAGTAACCTGGACAGAATGTGGGCTTGATCCTAGCATAGGAATATTGTGTGGGCTGTGTCTAGCCCGTCTGAAAAATTCAGTCACCTTGCTACTCTGTTTATACAGTAGCCACACTCTAATTAGGACATACGAGATAGATATTTTGTAAACCATAAAATATGAAAATATGGTTTAATGCTTATTTAAAGTGGCCTCTGGCCAAAGCAATTAGGCAAGAGAAGGAAATAAAAGGGACAAAAATAGAAAAGGAAGAGTCAAATTGTCACTATTTGCAGATGATATGATCCTATATTTAGAAGATCCAATAAACTCCACCCAGGACTGTTTGAGCTAATAAACAATTTGGTGAAATAGCAGATTACAAAATCAACATCAAAAAATCAGTAGATTTCCTATATACCAATAATAAATTTGCTGAGAATAAAGTCAGGAAAACAATACCATTCACAATAGTTTAAACAAAACAAAATTAAAAAAAAAAAAACAAGAACCTAGGGATAAATCTAACCAAGAAGGTGAAAGACCTCTTCAATGAAAATTATGCAACATTGAAGAAATAAATTGAAGAAGACACGGGAAGATGGAAAGACCTCTTATGTTCATGAACTCATGTATGGCAGAACTAATATTGTTAAAAGGGCCATTCTACCCAAAGCAATATACGGATTCAATGCAATTCCCATCGAAATACCAATGGCATTCTTCATAGAACAGGGAAAAAAAAAACAGTTCTACAATTTATTTGAAAGAATGAAAGACCCAGAATAGGCAAAGCAATTCTAAGCTAAAAAGCAATGCTGGAGGCATCGCTAAGACTTACTTCCAATTATACTACTGAACTATAGTAACAAAGCTATATGGTACTGGCATAAAAACAGATACTTAGACCAAAGGTACAGAGACTAATACAGGAAGATATAGTGATCTGATCTTTGACAAAGTTGTCAAAAATGTAACATTAGAGAAAAGATAGTTTTTTAAACAAATGGTGCTAGGGAAACCTGGATATCCATGGGTAAAAGAATGAGACTCAGCTATTTATCTTACCCTGCTCAAAAACAAACAAACAAACTACTAAAATGGATCAAGGACCTAAGAACTAGACCAGAAACTATGCAACTCTTAGAAGAAAACATAGGGTCAACATTCTAGCACATGGGCACAAGCAATAACTTTCTCAATAGGACCCCTAAAGCTCAGGAAATAATGCCAAGAGCTAATAAATGGAATGACATCAAATTAAAAAGTTTCTGCAAAGCAAAGGAAACAATTAAGTGTGAAAGAATGTGAAGAGAGAACTTTCAGAATGAGAGAATACATATATTCTAGATAGGTAAATACTCTCCTGACAGAGGATTAATATCTAGGATATATTAAAAACTAAAAAAACTTAACACCAATAAACAATAAATGGGCAAATGAACTAAACAGACATTTCTTAAAAGAAGAAATACAAGTGGTCAAAAATATATGAAAAAATGTGCAATATTGTAGCGATTAGGAAAATGCAAATTAAAACTGCCCTGAGACTTCTCCTCACTCCAGTCAGAATGGCAGCCATCAAGAATACAAATAATAATAAATGCTAGAGAGGACGGGAAGAAAAAGGACACTTTTACATTTTTGGCAGAATTGCAAATTAGTACAACCACTATAGAAATCAGTATGGAAGTTTCTCAAAAGAATAGGCATGGAACCACCATATGGCCCAGCTATACCACTCCTGTGTATCTATCCTACAGAATTAAAGTCAGTATACTATATGCATACCCATGTTTATAGCAGCACAATTCACAATAGCCAAACTA